ACGAGTGAACTGGATGCATGCTCCACTCCCATGACACTAGGTTAACCCTACAGATCACAGAGAACTTCCACAGCCCTGCTAGGAGGCTACTGAATGAATGTGAGTACTTGCAGATATCTGACATGCAGGCAAACTTTGAACCTGTTTACACTCTATGATACTTTGGGTTAAAGTAGTTTTCCCTTGATCACTCTAACACAGTGAAAAAGATTTAATGAGGAAAAGGGAAAAGCAGTATGTTAAATTCTTACAAAAGAAAGGAAAACAGCAAGAATCTGTGCCTTAAGTAATTTTACATCTTCCATTTTGTTTGTCTGATAGTTTAAAAAAATAGTCACTCAGTTAAGATAGCTCTCTAAACCACACCAATCAAAATGCAGAGTTGGACAGGCCATTCCCAGGGGCTACATCTACAAAACAGCCCTGTACCTAAGGCTCAAGAAACATAGAAGAAGAGGGGTTGGAAAGATTGTCAAAAGCCAGAGGGCCAGGGAGTTTGTTGTGAGACTGTGTCTCCTCATAATGTCAGGCGCTCACCCATAAAGTTTGTATCAACATGACGGCTTACGTGTTTACTAGGACAATAACAAGAGGCATGCCAAAGTGAACAGGGGAAATACCAGGAGGCCTCAGCACTACACAAAGAACTACAGGCAAGTAAGGAATCTTCAGAGTAGGAGAAATACTACTCAGGGAAGAGCACAGTAATTGGTTACCCAATACCTGAAAACATACATACAAGTAACGTTTTATAGATGGAGCAGGTTGTACTTTCGTGTTTAGAGGAAAAATACAAGTGTGTGTGTGTGTATGTGAGTGTATGTGTGTGTTTGCATGTAACAACAATTTATAAAAAAAAAAAAAAGAGGCCATGAGTCTGGAAAAGAGCAAGAGTATACTGGAAGGTTTGGTGGGAGAAAATAGAAGGGAGAAATAATATAGCTATATGATAATCTCAAAAATAAGAAAAAGTGAATAAAAATATATTTCTAAAGAATTTAAGGACACGAACAGGCACATGTCTAGAGTTATTATTAGGACTGCTGAAGCAGCTGTAACTACTGGGCACTCTGTTACAGAAATGTTCCTGTCAGAATTAATGATTTTGCCACACAGGCACAGGAACGTCTCAGAGTTGTGAAGTTTCTGCTTACTGGAAGAAAAGTGAAAGCCAGTAACACTGCTTCACAAGCTGTGTCTTTCTGTGAGTCCATCTCTGAGAGCATTACTGTAGGAACAGGACCTGCTGTGTCAACCGCTCACTGAAGGAAACAATGCACACGTGTGTGCACAGGCTTTAGAATACAGGATGTGAATGTCTTTTCAAACTGAACACCGCATGTGAAGCGCTGTCAGGAAGAGGACATCAAATGCTTAGCAGGAGTCAGTGCAAGGAGGAATGTACAACATTGAAATGATAGTGCAAAACTGAATGGACTTGCCACATCTCATGCATTTTGTTTTGCCAGAATTTCAGATAAAATTGTTTTTAAAACATGATGAAAAGACCATGATCTGGTATCTCTAAAAGAACAGCAATGATACCAGCCATTATTATGGTGCAAATACTCTGTGGTAATAACAGGAGATATTCTGAAATTAGCTTCATTACTTTGAGGGAATCTCATCAAATCAGTCCTACTGTCTAATGCAGATGTTAACACCAGAGGTTTATCTCTATGGATGACATAGTAAATATTTCACTTTTGAGCCTATATACATTCACCTCCACACGAAAATACATTCCATCCACTCTTCCCATAAACTCTGAACTTGAAGCTGAGTGACCAGGCCAGAGCAGCACTGCATGAACATGACTGGAAAGAACACTACTGAAACAGGGCATCATTCTACCGGTAGCTTGCAGTGCTGGGACCTTCTCTTCCCATCTGTTTTTTTCTCTTTGGGAGACCCATTCATAAGTCACAAAAACCTTCTTCAGAAAACAATGATGCACTTAGTCAACTGTTCTGAATATCTGCAGTGCCTCGTGCACACGGACCTGCAAGTTAGAAGCCCTTCAAGCCATAGGCAGAAGTCACTTGTAGACTACCATAAATTTAAACTACAAGTGCAAATAAAAATTAAATTAATGAAGCACTTAAATGTTATTTAATTTATACACTTGACCTCTTACTCATCTTTAGTTTTCATATTTACATTTGGAAAGATGTAGCACGCACATATATTCCTACTTACCACAATCCAACCGTTGTAACACATTTATTATGAAGTAGAGCTGCTTTGCTGTACTACACCCAACCTTAATCCCACCCTTAAATCTTAACATCACCACAGTGCCAATGAAACCCTATCAGCTAATTTTCTCCCATAATCTCCAGTAATATGCCTAATGATTTCTTTAGATAAACACTTTTCTACTGTTAAACTTGGTGTGTGTGTGTGTGTGTGTGTGTGTGTGTGTGCGCGCGCGCGCGCGCGCGCGCGCACACGCGCGCGCGCATGCTTGTGTGTGTTGGGGGCCAGGGAATAAGGGAATTCTCTTCTTCTAACCAGAAGTCAGCTATAAACCTAAGTCACCTGGGAGCTCAGCCAAAGTCTGAAACGGCACAGCTGAAGGGTACAGCCATCTCACAGGGTCCTCTCAGAGAGTATTTGGTTTGCTTTCCTAACTTTCTAAAAATAGTAGATTACACAAGCCACCTCCATCTCATGGCTCAAGAACTCAAAAGAGGCTGGAACAGGGATTAAAAGCGATACAGAAAGCAGATTTCATTAAAGAAGTCAGGCTATTACAAGTTTTACTTGTAAAACGTCTGTTTACTCTGAGACCAGAAAGATGATCTGCTGGTTGCAAGCCTCAGATTGCTCCAAACTTCAGAACTTCGAGCATGAGTCATACGGATACTTAAGTGTTTTAAGATGTGTTCTGGATCTATTTTAGCCACAAACATGAACACCAGAAGACTACTAGCTAAAAGGTAGAATTCCAAACACCATATAAAGAAGGAGGGCTCTTTCAGTGACACAGGAGACACAAGTACTTAACTGTACATCCAAACAAAGTTGATTGATTCTTATTACTTATTTTACTAACATTTAAGGAGCTACTGTCTGGGTATAAAATTCTATTATAAATAAATTTGTGTTAATTTGTCTGTCTAATCAAATAAAAAATTTTTTTACCAAATTTAAAAAAAACTTTTAAACTATAAATTTCAGCCTATTTTAGAAAAACCAAAGGAAAGGGATGGACTTTGCTGTGATTACTGGTATAATAAAAATCATTTCACAAACAGATTTTAAAACTTAACATTCTTTTTGTTGTTGTTGCTTTTTAAAAAAGTCCTTGATGTGGCGGTTGAATTTCGTTAACCACACAGCCTGTCTGTAAGATCCCTACTTTACTCAAAGGGGAACTGTTCTCTGACCACAAGTGAATAGTAACTTAAAAAAATATTTGGAGGTGGAAAAATAGAAACTGAATATTAATAGCTCACGATGTTTCCAAACCCTGTGTAGGCAGGTCTTCTGTGAAACCATTCAGCATCACAGCCAAAAGTAATGTCCTTCATTTTATAGCTAGGAGTTCACCAAGAATTATCTATAGGATTAAAAACTGGATTTGCTAGGAATTGGGTCAAAAAGGAGTTACTTATAAACACGGCTGGTTACCGACAAGAGCAATTAGTCCTCTGCTCATCATTTTATGGATCCCTGTCTCCCTGAATTCCTGACCATGAATTTAAGACTGACGTTCAGGAACGTCTCAATGCTGCGCCTTTATCAGTGTGTTTCAAGGCCAAGGCAGGGGCAGTAGTAATTGACAGCTCCTGCTTATGTGTCTCTAGGGCTCTGCCCATAGCCTACCGTCCTGACACAGATCTGTGGTTACTACTACACACCTCCTCTTAGCCTGTTCTAAAGACTGAAATTTTAAAATTCTTGGCAAAAAAAAACTAAAGTAAACCAAAGTGAGAATCCCAAAGTGAACTAAAAGCAACCGGGTGAAACGGTTAACCTCTAACTCACCCTGATGTGGTGAAAACAGCACTGGAATCACAGTATGCTGTGTTTTCAAAAAGACATGATGGAACTATGAGACTTCTTTACAGATGTAGACAGGATCTTGAAAGTGTCAAAGAATTAACTGCAGGTGTTTAGTATTCAAAAATCCATCTGATTAAACCAAGTAAGTTGAAGGTACCCAGAACACATTTCTAGTCTTGCCCTTGCATTTCAAAATAAAGACATGCTTGCAATCTTTTACAAGATCCATTTCAAACTCGATAAACATGCTAACACAAATCTTTTCTTCTTACCATGAACACAAAGCTAACTATGAACATTTCTGACCAAGAACATAGTAAGTAACAACTGGCAAGACTCTCACAGGAAAAGAACATATGTGTTTCCTCAGTACGAAAAATCTAATGAACAACAGTATTTGGTTCATACCTACATATAAAGACCACATTCAATAAAGTAGGTGGTTCACATAAGCTACTATAGCAAGTGAAAGAAATCTTACATTTAGTCAAGTTTCCCCAAAACTGCGTGGCTTTAGCCACTAAAAATTATCTCACAGAAAAGTAAAGATGTATCCATAGAATCTGCCATTCATTTCTAACAACTTGACAAGTTTACCAGCAAAGGAAAACAACTCATATTCAATCAGTGACCGTCTTGGCCTTATTCTAACACATGAAAGTGCTGAACATGAACATTTACCATTGCTGAACAAAGATCACACTTTGTTATCATCGTATTACAACTGCATCGGTACACAACACTTTCTGCTCTAGGGGGAAAAAAATCAAGGCGTCTGGAGTTCAAGGCCTGGTAAAGTTCCTTGTAAGTTTGGCCGGACTCGGTTCTATGACATATCATTGAGTGTCCCAGGCCAACACATGAACCAGAACATGCTGCATAACTAACGTGTTAACAAAGCAATCCATAATCCCAAACTTCCTGTACCGTGTGCCCATACCCCTTAATCAACCATTGCATATCCTTAGAAGTACAGAATATTTACTCACTTTCAGTGAATCAAAGCAGGCGATTACTCGTCCATTTTCAACTTGGCAGCTTTTCGAAGGATGTGCAAATTTACACTCCGTGTCTGGCCGTGAGCAAGTCCCTCTTTGAAACTCTCTACATACTTCCAGTGTTAGCCATTTTGTGTCCCGAATTGGTGTGACACTAACAGCCATGTTTATATTTTACAGGTAGTTAAGTGGTCAATGAAACCAACAAACCCAACCCCTCTCAAAAAAAAAAAAAAAAGAAAAAGAAAAAGAAAAATCAGTAACCAAAACAAAACCAAAAAAACAAAAAACAAAAACAAAAAAACAAGATAGAAACTGATAAAACTCAGAAGTGTGAAATGGTAATGAAAATGTCCAGAAGGCTGCTTCCCCACTCCCTGCTTTCACGGCACGTGGAAAAGTGTGACTTCAGTATCACTAGACCTCCACTAGAAATTCACAGCATGAAACTGTTAATTCAAAGAGGTTTTGGTTTTGAGAGGAATACCAGGACTGTGAGTGGATGGGTGCTTACAGGAGGGCCTGGAATCAGCCTTGTGCTCAGTAACCCCTTCCCAGTGCCAATTTGGAGCCCAAAATGCAAGCATGAAAACGTGGCAGACCCTCTGACACCGAATTTCCAAGCTGCTCTCAGCAAAGTTGTCTGACAGGGAATCTCCTCACAGCTGAATTTGCGCTGGAGTTTGGTGGTGCAATCGGTATTGATTAGTTTGGCATAGACAGATGCAGCAGTTTAGAGCAAAATCGAGAAAATGATTTTTTTTTTCCTCCTTGATTTCCTGGCAGAAGGTATCTTACTTTTTCAGCAAACTTTTCTTCTAAACTAAAGCAGCCTAGGGCAATGGCAGATACTCAGAGCTTTTCTCCTGATTAGAAGTAGAAATGGGGGTGTCTGGGCTAGAGGTGGAGGGCGGATGGGCTGTCGTCACAGTCTAGCTGGCAGCAAGCAAGGCAAAAGCAGAGGCTGCTCTAGAAGCGGTTCCAAGCAGCAGAGACGTCAGGAAAGGCACTTCTTAGTACCAACCTGTAGAGAAAAGAGATAGGTTAAGATTTACTAAGTAGCATTCACTAATGTCCTATAGTACCACAACCTTGCCATGTGTTACCAGACTAAGCAACTCAAAGTCAGCCTCTCTTTCTGTCTCTGTCTCTGCCTCTCTTCTCCTCTCTCTCTCTCTCTCTCTCTCTCTCTCTCTCTCTCTCTCTCTCTCTCTCACACACACACACACACACACACACACGCAAAATACTTACAGTGAGGCATATTGCAGCCAGCCATCGTAGATTTATTAAAAAGGGGGCCGTTTCCCCTTGTGAAGCAATGCATGATAAAGAGATAACCAATCACAGATAGTGTTGCAGCAATATTCTGGGCAGAAAGCCAATAGTGTGGGTTGTCTTATGAAAGGTCGCGCCTGTCAGACGTTCATTACTATGCTATAAGCACAGAAAATGTCCATCAGATGTGACTTATTCCACTGCAAGAGGACGAGCATGTGGGTTTTGAATTTACCCAACATGCAGTTAGTGGACTAAACCATGTTAGTTTCCAAATAGCTTCTAAGGCAAGAAGTCCAAGGACTTGACAAGCTCTCCGGGGGGGAATCAAATGGAGGTCTAAAATCTGCAGCTGAAGTCCAAGCTGTTTTCCCTCTGGCACTTCCCAGGGGTGGACACTGAGCAGCCTGCTGCTGCTGCTGCCCTGACACGTGAATAAAAAAGGAAAGGGGTGTTTACGAATGGTACATTCTCCTGACCTATCCAATTCACTTCCTCCTAAAGCCCAAGTCCTGCCCCTCCGCTGAAAGCAGCACTCATACTGTAAAACTATTCCATTCAGCCATCAGACACTGTGTCACTATATCACAGGCAGGCGAGGTATGAACAAAAGCATCCTTTATTCAGACCTTTTTAAAGCAGAAGCTGAGGTCTTGTGGCGAGAATAAGGAGTGCAGTGTTGTCAGCGTGTCTGGTAAATCTGAAGTCAACCTCCAGGGAGAAAGTGATTCCATTGCAGGAACATTAATTATTAAGTGAGCAATTTGATTTGGGCAGCAGGATGCACTTCGGAGGCTCAGTCCCACACTATGCTGGAGGGTGGGGGCTGGAGGGTGGGGGCCGAGGCGGCTGCCTGAGGTTCTGTTAACTTAGGAGACCACTCGTTAGAACAGGGCAGCTTACTTTCCCTTTCGACAGGACAAAAAAAAAAAAAATCAAAAAAACTTAACTAGTTACAAAAATAAAAGTGTGTATGCTTGGGGTTGCTTTCCTTCTGAACACGGTAAAGAAAGTCAGGCTTTCTTACCAGCACCTTCCAAGTCGCCAACAACACAGAGTAATGGTGATGACAGTCAGTTTTTTAAAAGAAGCTGGACATAAATGGTACCTTCGTAATTTTGGAAATTAGAATAGAGGCTATGAAGATATCTGTTCTAAAAGCATGACTATGTAGTAGAATTTATTTTTTAGGATTAATCCTAGTATTCTTAATAGTATTCAGAGAAAATTCTAGCTATTTAACAGGGTTTTATATTTCAAAAACGCTAAAACAGAAAACTGAAGTTTCTAAACTGAAGAAGTAACTAACCACAGTGTTCAAGAAGAGTCCTCTGGTCCTAAGGCTCAGCTCTGCCGAAGCAAGGTCAGTCTGTCCAGTCCTGGCAAGTCGGCACTCTGTCTAATGCTCAGTCTCTGCTCAGCAGTCAGTTTCTTGGAGCCTCCATGGCATGAACGCAGAGCACATGTGCTCACCTCCTCTTCAGCCCACACTGCTTAACCCTTCATCAGCCACCACGCCCCCAGAAAAGCCAGAGGTGCCACATCCACCTTTCACTTACACACTAGCATCATCATTTCGGAATTACCTCTACACACCCTCCCTGTCTGTGAAGCATTGTATGTTGGAACCACTGGACCACATGCTTCCAAGGGCAGAAACAACACTGAGAACAGTGATAAAGATATAGACGGAGTGACTTCCAAAAGCGAGGGTATACAAACGACTGCTTACTATGGTGGGACTGAGCTTACCCGAGGACACAAAAGTAACACACATACACACATGAAATCATATGTGAATGTACTCAAATTCACACGGAAAGCATGTGCAGACCATCACCTCTATATATTCCAGGGTCCTGCAGGCCCTCCCTCTGCCTAGGGGTCTCTGCACAGTCTTGGACCACTCCCCCTCTTACACAGATTTCACTCCCCCAGTGGTGGGTGATCTTATGTGTCACATTTATGTCTCTGTTCAAACAGTCGTCCTGAGGTCTGAGCTCCCCTGAAACTCCTGCTTGTCTGACTACATCTTCTGTTGCTGCTCTCCCCAGTGTCAATCTTGCCAAGCTTCCACCTTGACTGGCTCCTTCCCAAAGTCGCCTTCCTTCTCTAGACCTATGCACACCCGTCTGCCACCTTCACACGGCTGTTCATTCCTAGTCTTCACAAGAGCGGAAAACCCTGCACCAAAGGGGGATAAAGTCCTGCATGACTGTGCACCGTCCTCCTCCCGTCATGCTACGTGTCTTCCCCAGACCAGTGTCTACAATCTACACACGCTGCTTCTCTGCTGTCTTCATGTGTCCTTCACGTCTATACCCACGTCACTATAACTCCCATACTTATCACTCTGCTGCTCAACAGGAGTTGACAACCCTGGAAAAGCCAAATGCATTTACATTTGCTTCAGAACCACCACACACAACTCTTTAGCTTATGATCCCACATCCCTGTATCTTTAGAGGGATGAGCTCTTGAGGCTTCTGCCTATAGCAGCTACTGAACCCCAATAGTGTACTAACACTATCACTTCATTTGGCTGAAGACCCCATATCCCCGCAATCCAGCAAATCTATTCTTGTTTACATTGCTATAGATACCATCTTCTTTGTAAAGCTGGGCCAGCTAAGATGAAAAAAATTAAAGGAAAATAGAAAAACATGATTCCATCCCATAACATGCTCATTACTTTAGAAGTTTTTGTCTAATATTATCAACTCCCTGACAGCAAGGTGTATTACCCAAACCCTAGATCCTGGAATATAGTAGATATTATTAAATGCTTAATATATGTATAAATTTTATTCATATTAATAGGAATAAACATGTTTAGGCAAGTATATTATCAATCATTGGGAATATTTAGTTGTAAAGAACAAGGTTCAAGCTATATAAAAAAGGAGAATTGGCACCATTATAAATATCCATGTTCTCTGGTGGCCAAGGATATAGAATGCAATAAAGTTTATTTCTTGAGTTGGTTATTTTTCCTTTCTGTCATGACACAGGCTTTGCCGCACTTTAGTATGAAACATATATTAATTACAAAATTGCCTAGAGATTCTAGTTTGCTCTATTCCATTTCCAATCTATTTAAGAGATTCTTCAAAGGTTCCAACTAAAAGAATTAAAAACACGTTTGTAAACTGATCATACTAGAACACACGTGCAGACGAGAAGCAGCATGTTTATGACTGGGCAAGACATGGAATAAGAAGAGACGACACCCATCTGTGCCTACTGGGAAGTTCAGTTCGTGAAGCTGTTTGGTTTAAGGTAATACACAAAGGACTTGGATCAACATTGAACTCTCAAATGTAACTTCAACTAGTAAAGGTGTTTTTACCCTATGAGCCGATTATCAAAGACACTATTTGGCAGTGGGTGGGCCCTCATACTAGGAGATGACAGAACAGCAAGAACACTAAGAGTTTGAAGCCAGGTTGGGCTAAAGTGAATTCCAAGCCAGCGACATAATGAAAACTGTCTCAAAAAAAAAAAAAAAAAAAGAAGAAAGAAAGGAAGGAAGGAAGGAAGGAAGGAAGGAAGGAAGGAAGGAAAAAGAAAAGAAAATTATATAACAATAACATACAGATTATAAGAGTTTATGAAAACATTTTTCTCTGAAATAAAGGTTTGGTTTTTTAAATGACTATTAAATAAAATGAATCTACTTCTAACATGTTTACTAATAGGTAAATTCTCTCTATGATTCTATGATGTTTCTGCCTTTATCAATATATTATATATAAAGTTACCTCAAGAACAAAAGACTTGATTTGGAAATTTAAAAGTTTTGTAACAAGAATCAAACTTTCTGGTACCCATGGAAAAAGTTCTCAGTGACCGACTGATCAAACTCTAACCACTGCATTTCCTCACTCATATGACATATCAACAGCCAAGCGCTCTCTGCAACACGAGCTAATTTCACTTAAAGTGATGTCAGAAGCCATGTGTACAGTCTATGGAAAGATAAGGTATAACGGAAGAAAAAGAAAGGAAACAATATGAAATAATCCAGTCAGTAAAAACTGAGAAAAAAGATAAAGAGTAAAGTTTTGAAAAGCACAAAGGGAAAGGAAACTATGAGGGAAGTATGAGCAGTGTTCTCTGTCAGCTAAAGGCCTAGACACTCAGAAGGGTGCACATCAATTGAGGCCTCACATGGTGTGCAGTAGAAGGTAAACGTGTGCCTACAAGGTGGAACAATAGCCTCTAAGCAAGACGTTAGTCTCTTAGTCTCCTATGTTTCCTAGTCCTTTAAGTTGTAAGACAAATAGAAGGGAACCAGTCCAGTGATCCCAGAGTAGTTAGTGAGAAACCTGTGAGATGTTTTTTTTTTCTGACACTTTGATATTAAGATGCATTATGTACTGAGAAATAAATGACGTGAGGCCTCTTACCGCCATTTTGACTTCCTAAAATAGTTCTAACCAAACAGAAACTATGGAAGACCTCACTGTGTAAGTTTGGAGATGACAGAAAGAAGCCACTTGTCCAAAACCATCTTTTTTTTTTTCTGGTTGCCAATGTCAACAAAACTGTAATCAGCTATGCAGCACTTAAACACATGAAGCTAATTCATATAATTTTTCTCAGTGCTTGCCCCAAATAATAACAGACTTCAGGGGAAATAATACTAGGAATTTTGGGGGAGATCTGCAGTCACACTGTCCTGACTGCTTAAACAAAGTCTCCAAGCTGTGGTTGTCTTGAGAGGGTGAGTGAGCCTTCCGGAAG